TCTTGCTCAGGCTGGTCTTGAACTCCTGAGCTCAAGTGCTCAAGTGAGTGAACTCCTGAACTCCCCCCTCCCGGCTCAGCCCCCCAGAGTGCTAAGATTACAGGCATGAACCACCATGCTAGGCCTGAGCCCAGGAGTTTGAGGTTGCTGTGAACTATGATGCCACAGCACTCTACCCAGGGTGACAGAGTCAGACTGTCTAAAAAAGAAAAAAATAGAAAAAAAAAAAGAAAAGAAAAAGAAAATGTACTGAGCCCCCAGGCAAGAGGATGCCCTGCCTCAAGAAACTTAGGATCTAAGCTTGGCAAGGTGAGAAGGCCGGGATGAAGAGAAACCCTAGGAGCACTGTGGGTGCCTTCTCAGCGACCACTTCCCTGGCGGGGGCCATGGGCAAGTGGGGTCCCTAAATAAAGTCAGCACGTATGGGATTGCCTGAGACGCCAGATGACACCTCCCCACCCCCTGCAATTCTGGACCACGGCCCTCACCTTGGGCATCTCAGCTCCCTTTGGTCAAAAGGCCCTGACTCAGAATCAGCGTCAGTGATGTGGACCCTTCTGCTGCTAACGAGATAGGACGCTCGGGTCCTGGGGTTAGCAAACTCTGGCCCGGGGCCCGCACCTGTGTTTGCATGTCCTGCAAGTTAAGAATGGTGTTGGAATTTGTAAGTGGTTAAAGAAAAGGACAGTATTTCATGACACGTGGACAAAGAGTGAGAAATTCACACGTCGGTGTCCATGAAATAAAGTTTTGCTGGAACACAGCCAGGCCCACATGTTCACGACTGTCTCAGGCTGCTACTGCAGTTGTGGCCGAGGCGGTGTGCCCTAAAAGGCTCATTATCTGGCCCTTATAGGAAAAAATCTGCCGTTGTCTGCTCTGATCAACTTATTTAGACTGATGCCTAAATAAGTTATACGGGAACTTTGATCCTTTACACGTTCCCTGGGGCTGATACAAATAAACTCTCTGTGTGATTTCTGGGTCAGCTCTGAAACACTTTTGAAACTTTTGAAAACATGTGGTCCTCACTGTTCTTTCTCTGGAGGGGCTGGTCCCCAACCTCTGCAGTAAAAGAGATACATACACCCACTTTTTAGGGAGTGGTGATTATAATAGTATTAACTTCTGCTGATTCTGTGTGCCAGGGGGCCATCAGGGGCCTTAGGACAGGCCACAGAGGAGGGGACGCAGGGCAGGGAACCTGGGTCAGCGTGTGGGACAGAGTGCCTCTCCAGAAGCAGACTTGGCCCTTACTAGTGAAGGAAAGAGTTAATTATTCTTTTGGAATTGGGAGTCTCTGCTGCCTTGGACCTCCCAGCCTAGTGAAACATCCGAGTGCCGCCGGGTCATCTCACATCAGGGTCCTGGGAAAGGGACAACCTCCCCTGGAGGCCTGGAAAGTTTTCCAGCACCATCAGCATTCAAAGGACACGAGGCCTCCCCTTCTACACCAGGCTATTTCCAGCACACTGTAATTTCTAGAAACAGAAAGGAAGTGACCCCAGTATGCAAGATTTTCTCACTCATCTAAAGTATTAGAAGCTGATTTTTAAAAATCCCTCGGGATACATGTATTTTTTTTTCCCTCCGTAAGAATGTACAAAACCATCAAAGTTTGGAAAGATCTAAATAGGTTTTGCGTTCCCTTCCCCCCCGCCCCCCCAAACCGCAGGTCTGAACAGGAAGCCTATCAGGGCTCTGGGCTATTCTGTTGCCAGCATGGACATGGACAGAGTGCTGCTGGCCGTCTCTGAGGCTTCCCAGTCTGGACTCACCAATTCAGAGCTCTTGGAAAGGGCTGGGCCTCACCCCTCCTGGGCTTTCTCTAGGGGCCTGGGACCCCCAGGGCTTGGACAGCACACAGGCGGATCTGGCTGGACTTTGAACCACTTTCACCCACCCCTCGAGGGCCCTCGCCCTGCTCTGTCCTCCTTCCCACATGCAGACTTGGCAGGAGGACCTCAGAGCTGATCTCAAGGGATTGTTCTCAGAAGAATCCCAGTGTCCCCGAGGTCTGGAGGGGCTCAGGAACAAAGCTGCCTCTCATGTGTCCAAATCACACAAGGAATGCAAGATGGTTGCACTGTGAGGATCTGAGTCCCTCGGCCTTGGATAAACCCACTTATTTTACCCCGCGTCTCCCTGTCAGGGCTATTAGCATTGAGTACACTGGATACTTGCTTTTCCATTCTGTGAGACTTTACTAAGAAGAACGTTCTCCAACTCTGTCCAGGTTAATACAAAAGATGTAAGGTCCCCATCTTTTTTTTTTGTAGTTTTTGGCTGAGGCTGGGTTTGAACCTGCCCCCTCTGGCATTTGGGGCCGGCGCCCTACTCCTTTGAGCCACAGGCGCCGCCCAGTCCCCATCTTTTTCAGGGGCTGAATAGTATTCCATGGTGTACATATACCACAGTTTATGAATCCATTCATGTGTGGTTGGGTTGACTCCACATCCTGTGGATTGTGAAAAGAGCTGCGATAAACATTCTAGTGTAAATGTCCTTATGGTAAACTGATCTTTTTTCTTCTGGGTAGATACCTAATAATGGGATGGCAGGATCCAATGGCAGGTCTACTTTTAGTTCCTTGATGATCCTCCATATTTCCGTCCAAAGAGGCTGTATTAATTTGCAATCCCACCAGTCGTAAAAAAGTGTTCTTGAAGTAAAGGAATTTTTACTTCACTCTGAGCTAATGTTGCCCTCCAGGAAGCTCAAAATCAGTCCTCAAGGTCAGGCCAGGGTCAACCACATCACCACCTACTTCATGCTCAGTGTTTGGTCTCCATTTAAAAGAAGTCACAGAAGTTTTAAATGTATAGGGACAAATACCAGAATAGGTCCAATTATTTATTTATCCTTGCCCTTGTTCCATTAAAGACGAAAGGCTGCTCAAACTTGTGTCTGGCAAACATCCTGTCCGCAG